AGGGACTCTTTCACTTTTAAGAATCTTTGCAACTATTTAGGTCTACCACGGGTAGATGAGCCCCAACCACATGTGCCTTTACAGGGTTGTACTGCATAAATCCATAATTACATTACTGGGGTATATCCCCCTTTTTTCATTCAATTTTTTACCCACATTGCCTTGTATAGGCTTAGGGTTATGTTTCTCTCCACGTGGTAACTGTATTTGCTTATATGCATAACATGTGATATTATATACCTATGGTCCAATTTTTTGAAAATACCTCCTACAGGGAGTGTAACCAATGTGCGGTGCTGTAAATGTTCTAGACTATGTTTGTCACAGCCTTTGCAGCACATATATATCCAGACCAGTCTTGGTGTGATTTTAAATGGTTTTAGGTCTGTGTGTATTGTCTCATACTGAGGTGATGGTAAACCAGGGCGATTGCCCAATTGTCAATTATTAATGTGTAATAAAGCATAAGTTTTGGAAATTTTTCTGAGTATCGCATTCTGTCCATAATGTAGCCGCTTTCTTGTGAATCTCTTTTCACAAATTTCTTTGTTGGTCTACTTTTGAACCCTCTGCCTGAGTTCACACTTCTGCGGTGCGGAACATTGCATGTGATCCGCACAGGAACCTCCCCCGCATTCCTGTCCAAATCACACGCAAATTCTGTGCGGTGCAATTTGAGCCATACAAAATATATGGCTCAAATTGCACCACATCTGCACCAGAAAGGTGCGGGACCCTTTTTTCGTCCCCACTAGAACTCTGCATATCGCACAGTGTTTTGTGAACCGATTTCAGGGTGTTGTTAACATACACACCCGCAGCAGTTCACATGAATGGGGTGCGATTATGATGCGGTGTGGAATTCGTACAGAAACCAGAGTAAATTTCGCACCGCATCAATGTGAACCCAGGCTCAAGCTCCAGACTCTGACCTGGGATTACAAACATTCTGCATGAAAGCACACTGGACATGTAGGTGCATTCCCTCTAGCTGGGTTTAGATAAAGAAGAAATGTGTGCATTCAGGAACCACTTATCCTGGTTTTATGTAGCTATACGCATGTAGATGTGCATTAAAGTGTTACTAAACCCACAACAGTAAAACAGTCTGTATATGCAGCAAAGCATGCTTGTTATACTCACTGTGGACCCTGAGGGGTCAGTCCTCTGCATTTGTGTAAAAAAAGCTGTTTGATCCTGTCTTCTCTGCTCCTCCTCTTGTTCAAATGTCCACACTGATAAGACAAACTGAACCCATAGCCCTTCTACACATGCTCAGTTTAGTGTGTATTGATCAAGAGGGTTTTTTTTTTTATTTTTCTTGGGAGAGTACATGTGATCAGCACAGGGCCAATCCACACTGTCCAGACAGAGGTCAGGGGTTCTGCATCCTCCTAGAGCAGAAAGAAAATTCCTCCTACAAGCTTTAACTAGTGCTCATCTGCAGTCACAAGACTGCTCTAACTGCTGATGAGAAAAGGTATTTAGCAGTTTATATTTACTAAAATAATTGTATTTCCGTGTGCTGTGTGACCAGATATAGTGAATAAAGGGTCCGGGGTTCCGTAACACTTTAAAGCTACACATTCACACCTGCATTTCTGGCCAACAGTGAGCAGATGTGGCAAAACTGGGGGGTGTGGGGGTAGCTGTGTATGGCAACCCCTTTGAAAGTGATGAGTGGTTGCCAGCTCACGCAGCTAATTGCAGCCACTTGCATGTAATCGCTATGCGGAGATTACCTGTAAGTGATTGACCCTGGATAGCTCCCAAGTAATCACCGCATAGCAATTACATGGGAGAGGCTGCAATTAGCTGCAGGAGCCAGCAGCCTCCTATGGCTTTTTATGGGGCTGTCTACACCATCAAATTTCTTGCATCTGCTTGCTGTCAGCCAGAAATGCAGCTGTGAATATACCCTAAGTGCAGGAGAAATGGATCTGGGAAGTATAAAGTTTGGTTGCACTTACCAGTTCAATTTCCTTGCAAGGTGTGTGTGTGTATAGTGCCTAAAGTGTAACTAAACCCACATCATAAAAAAACTATCAATAAATGCTGTATTACATGCTGTTCATACTTATTCACTATGGGATTCATTTTCTGCAAAAAAACCTGGTTGATCCTGTTGTTCTCTATCGCCCCCTTCTGTTCATGTCCCCAATGCAGTTGGGGATTTTTGCAGAGTAGTGTTGGCAGCTACTGCACATGCTCAGTTTTCTGTGAGTTTCCATGCTGAGCATTTCCTCCCTATCACATCTGAGCAGCTCATGTGACTATAGAGTCACACATGTGGGTGTATACACAGTGGTAAATGACTCCATCCCTCCTCCTCCATGCCCACTAACCAACTAACCACAATGGAAGTGGGATATTACATCTTAATTGATGGAGGATTCACCTACCTGTTACTCTAAGACACAGGCTAGAAAAGCATGACGCAGTATGTGACTGGCAGAAATTCTCCCATACCATGTTATTGCCAAAAAATAATAGATTTGATTTCAAATATATATTTGTATGACAATTTAAAATAGTTAATTGAAATTAAAGTATAACTAAATCAAAACTTTTTCTTTTTGTTTTGGATAGAATGGAGATGGATTAGAACCCTTGTTAGGTTTTTATTGCTGTCTGTGTCCCCATTAGGGAGACTCACCCTCTCTATTTGTCCTGTTTACCATTAACATTGAAAGTGAAAGCAAAAGAAAATTCCAAATTTTGGGTTTCCACAGAAAAGTAATAAAGGGGGAAATAGTCCAAAGCGGACACTGTCTCTAGTGACCTGGGAGACTCCAAGGGATTCCTTTATTTGTAGGGATTTCCTCTCACTTCCTGTTTTGGCTATGGGACAGGAAGTGAAGGTATATCTTCCCCATGGGACCAAGATGGCAAAAAAAGAAAATTTGACAAGGGTATAACCCTTCCTTACTCTATCCAAAATGAAAAAACAAAAGTTTTTCCTTTAGTTCTATTTTAATTATTAATTTTTACTCTGTATTCCAAAGACTGTTTTTTTTTTATTTTGAACATGTGACCAGCATCAGAGGACTAGAAGTTCCTCCTGCTTGTGACCAGCATAACGATTAGAAAAAGAGTGCTTAGATTTTTTTTTTTAATTAATATAATTACAGTGCAGCTACAGGACCAGCGACGAACTTGTAAGTCTCTGTGTTTTTCCAAGTTTGGAGCGTGCACATGCAGCCCCCCCCCCCCCCCCCCTCTGCTGACCCCCGCCATCATTCGATGCAGAACATGTTTGTCAGCAGGTCCCGGCCAATGATTTTTGATTGGGGCTCTGCTGATCTCCTGCAACGAATGGAGAAGCAGAGCTGTGCCTGTATTTGTAAAGAGAGGCACAGAATCTAGCTGGATCTTCTCTCCCCGGAACCTTTTCATTCCAGGGAGAGAATAAAGATGAACCACTTGTGAATAAAAGCAGCACATTTGTACCCAAACCATAGTTAGATACATATTAACCCCTTGATTGCTGGTTTTTTAACCTTTGATCGCCCCAGATGTTAACCCCTTGTTGCCCAGTGCCATTAGCAAAGTGTCAGTGGTATTTATGAGCACTGATCACTGTATTGGTGTCACTGGAGATGTCAGTTTCCACCCAGTTTCAGTTAGTGTCAGAATGCCCGCCGCAGCCCCCCGCTATAAGTTGCTGATCGCCACCATTCCTAGTGTAATAAATAAATAAAAATTAGAGTATATATTTATTTCAGGTACTTGTATAGTACCGTCAAATTATGCAGCGCTTTACACATATATATTTTACATTCACATCAGTTCCTAACCCTCAAGCATACACATATTAGGTTCAATTTAGACAGGATCCAATTAACCTACCAGCATGTCTTTAGAGTGTGGGAGGAAACCAGAGTACCTGGAGGAAACCCACGCAGGCACAGGGAGAACATGCAAACTCCAGGCAGGTGGTGCCGTGGCTGGGAATTGAACCAACGACCCTAGTGCTGCCAGGCGGAAGTACTAACCATTTAGCCATATATACTGCCATCTGTAGATGCTATAACTTTCACATAAACCAATTAATATACACTTATTGTTTTTTGTTTTTTTTGACATGTAGCAGAATACTAATTTTGACCTAAATTTATGAATACATTGTATTTTTCTTTTTTTTATATGTTTTATAGCAAAAATTAAAAAAAATGTTTTTTTCCAAAATTGTCAGCCTTTTATTGTTTATAGCACATAAGATAAAAAATGCAGAGGTGATCAAATACCACCAAAAGAAAGTTCTATTTGTGGGAAAAAATTAAATCAATTTCATTTATGTACAGAGTTGCATGACCACGCAATTGTCAGTTAAAGTAACGCAGTGCCGTATTGCAAAAAATGGCCTGGTCAGGAGGGGGGGGGGGTAAATCTTTCAGAGGGCAAATGGTTAAACAGTGAGTGTTTAGTATCACTTTAAGACTTCGCACTAGTGCTGTCAAACCTGCATTTACAGGACATTTTAAAACTCATATAAATGTATGTAATTACTTTACAATGGTGACATTCATACTGTGTGTTCAGGGGCGTATTTGCCACGAGACAAACAAGGCATTTGCCTAGGGCGGCACTTTTCAGGGGGGGGCGGCACGGCGGCAGCGCCGCCCCCCCTTTCCCGTGGAAGGGACACTTCCGTGGGAAAGGGACAGGGGGCTGCTGTGTCTTACCTGTGTCCGTGACTCCATGTCCCACGTCGATCCGATCCACAAGGCGCTGCTGGAGGAGGGGTGCAGAGGGTGTCCGTCCGGTGTCTTCATGCTCCTGGATCTTGATCGGGATTACAAGCCTCCTCTCGAATCTGGCCACACCCCTGGGATCAGTGGGCAGCCTACTGCAGCCTGTTCCTGCCTCTGCAAGCTCCGCCTCCTCGCCTGTTATCTGTAGCTCAGAAAAGGCACACAGGCAGCCAATCACAGGCGAGGAGGCAGAGCTTGGAGAGGAGGAGCTGAGCGGCAGCGTGAAGATTGAAGATCGAGTGAGGGAGCAGCTGGAGCTGGGGCACCATCATTAGTGTCAGTGTGAGGAATAGTGCCCCATCATTGGTGTCAGTGGGAGGAATTGTGCCCCATCATTGGTGTCAGTGGGAGAAGTAGTGGCCCATCATTAGTGTCAGTGGGAGGAATCGTGCCCCATCATTGGTTTCAGTGGGAGGAATCGTGCCCCATCATTGGTGTCAGTGGGAGGAATAGTGCCCCATCATTGGTGTCAGTGGGAGGAATAGTGCCCCATCATTGGTGTCAGTGGGAGAGGTAGTGGCCCATCATTAGTGTCAGTGTGAGGAATAGTGCCCCATCATTGGTGTCAGTGGGAGGAATAGTGCCCCATCATTGGTTTCAGTGGGAGGAATCGTGCCCCATCATTGGTGTCAGTGGGAGGAATAGTGCCCCATCATTGGTGTCAGTGGGAGGAATAGTGCCCCATCATTGGTGTCAGTGGGAGGAATAGTGCCCCATCATTGGTGTCAGTGGGAGGAATAGCGCCCCATCATTGTCAGTGGGTGGAGCTCTAATAGGAAGAGGTGGAGCCTAAAGAGGAAGGGTGGAGTTTGCAGATGAAAGGGTGGGACAAATTTAGATGCGGGGGGAGGGTGCACAATTTTAGTCTTGCCTAAGGCAGCACAAAGCCAAAATACACCACTGTGTGTGTTTATCTGCATGTAGGTGAAGTCACTTTATCTGTGTTTAGAGAAATAGAATTCTGTGTCCGATTAGACACTCTAAGGCTGGCCATACATGGATCAATTTTTTTTTTTTTTTAAATAACTGAATGGATTCCCCCTTTCACACAAGTGGAGGAATCTTCACCGCTATGCTACTGTATTCTGACAGGGGAACTCCTCTGCTGTCAGAAGACACTGATCAGCGCTTCAGGGAATTGGCTGTAGTGCTGGTAAAAGGGAAATAATAATCCAGCAGGCCCAGGGCAGGAATGGCCATAGATTGATCAAAATTCGCCCAATCTCTGCTGAACTTCAGGGTGCTATACATCTATGGCCAGCTTAAGGTCCCTTTCACATGGGCACTTTCAGGTGGCAAAACCAAGTGTATGAGGCATGTTTTAAACAAAAAACCAGGGAGTGGCTGCTTGAGAGCCCCATACACATTGCCATGGCTGCAATGATTTGCGGCACGGCAAACAAAATAAGGCATATTGGTTCAGCAGGTGATACCTCTGGGGGCACCACACCCCACAGAGTTGAATAGGGCCACACCACAACCGTATCCATGTGGCTTAGAGAAAAGGGATTTCACCATGATCTCTCTCTTTAAACATGTGCAGAAAGTGGCATGTCATCTCCCGATTGACTGCTAACCATGAGCCTACCAGTTCTCACAATGCTATCCAAGTGAGCAGTTGGACCCCTGTAAAAGAGGCTGCAACTTAATGCATGGAAATACTGCTAAACCTCTAGAAAAAGGGACCTAGGAAGAATAAGGCCTCATTAACATTGGCATACCTATCCACATACTCATGAGAAGGGCCGTCTTTTCCAGCATGGGATGCACAGGTGTTCTTTTGCTGCCAAAATCAGACACCTTAGAGAATAAAATGGTGGTAGTTAGAGATTTATTTATTTATTTCAGGTACCTATATAGTGCTGTCAATTTATGCAGCGCTTTACATATATTGTACATTCACATCAGTCCCTAACCCTCAAGGGGTGTACAATCTAAGGTCCCTAACTCACATTCATACATACACATGCTAGGACCAATTTAGACAGGGGCCAATTCACCTACCAGCGTGTCTTTGGAGTGTGGGAGGAAACTGGAGTACCCGGAGAAAACCCACACAGGCACAGGGAGAACATGCAAACTCCAGGCAGGTGGTGCCGTGGTTGGGATTTGAACCAATGACCCTACTACTGCCAGGCCCTGGAAGTGATATCAGAAGGGGAGATGGGTGACCTGTTGTTTGCTGATCTCCCTCCTCTCTACGCGGTGGAACCTGCCATGCTGGTCTTGGATCTGCCAATGGCTTGTCAGATTTACAAACATTTTTGGCTGCTGTAGCAGCTGGGAGTGTATGTAAAACATACATATGGGGCCAATTTAGACACGGGCCAATTCACCTACCGGCATGTCTTTGGAGTGTGGGAGGAAACCCACACAGGCACAGGGAGAACATGCAAACTCCAGGCAGGTGGTGCCGTGGTTGGGATTTGAACCAATGACCCTAGTACTGCCAGGCGGAAATGCTAACCATTTAGCCACCGTGCTGCCCGATACCTGTATCGGTACCGATACCAAGTATTTTCATGAGTACTCATGAAAATACTACTGATATCTTAACCGATACTTTGTGGCACAATTTGCATTATTGGACGCAAATTGCACTGCAAAGATTAGCATGTGATTTGAACAGGAACGTGATTCCTGTCCAAGTCAAATGCGGTTTCCCCACAGCTGCTGTGTGAACCCAGGCTTGTCATAGACCGAGTTCACACAAGAGCGGTGCGGGCAACCTCTCTGCAGGCATCCCATGCTTAATGTCAGTGGTAGGAGAGGAGAGAAAGCGGCAGGAATTTCAAATACCCGCCGCTTTCTTATCTCTCCTTGCAGCAAAGACAGTTTGGGCTAGACGGCATCTGTTTGCTGATGCAGATCGCACCGCAAAGTATCAGTATTCGGTATCGGCAAGTACTTGACCGAAAGTATCGATACTCGTACTTGCCGATAAGAAACTGATATCGGTGCATCCTTAGTGGTAGTTACAATTTTTTATGTCAAATGTTATTTGCACAGGAGTTTCCAAAGCAGTAAAAAATACACTAAAGTTATTTTTCAACTAAGAAAGCATCCAAGAGGCGCTGGGTCTTAAAAGTAGTGAGAAAGCAATGGAAACATCCTCTTTTTGATTTTTAGAGGCACAAGTCAAAGCAATAGTATTGTTAAAGATAACATTTTTTTTTAGTAAACCATATTTTATTTATACAAAGTTAAAAATACATATAATTACAAAATATGGCGGTAACATCAACCATGATTTTACAATAAGTACATGAAGGAGGATGCATGCATTTGCACTTGACGCGTTTCTAGACCAACAGTAATCTCTTCTTCAGAAGTGCTTTAAGGGCATGACACCTATAGTAAATATATCATTATTGTCATGTTTTAAATATATCCAACAAAGAAATAATGACACTCTCAAGAAACATAATTTTTGACTTGGATAGCCCTACTCTGGGGCAGAGAACATGAAACAACCACCAGTTGACTGAGAGTCAACTACTCCTTAGGTGTCTTGCCCTTATCCTCCCTAACAGTCTGATTATCTCAATATTTCTGTGCTCAAAGTGGTATATTTTTTTGCATGGAAATATGTCTTTTTTTATTGTAGGCCTGTAATTCTTAGGAATAACTCACTGAAATCTGTCCAGAGTCTAGTAAACATCCCGGGTAGGATAAAATTTAAAACACGAAATCATAAAGTATAATATAATAAATAATCATAAAAAAATAATAATATAATAATAATTAATTTCATTCAATAATGTAATCAAACCAAAAACACTGAAATTTGAAATAGAGCGCCAAGTTCGCACATCACTGAGCTCAGTCACAGAATCATTTTCAGTGTCTGATGACGAATTTCCCCACGAATCGTTATCACTCAATTCTGCAAGTAGTTCTAATTTACTATCGCTGTTCTCTAGCTGGTCTAAAACCGATTTTGACCTAAAGGGACGCTTTTTGGACGCCATGGACTTTTCTCAGTTTCTAGGCAGAAAGAACAGTAAAAATGCAGGCAGAGCACAGGACAAAGCACTAGGGACAAAATATATGTGAAATGGTTTGATACAGTAATGTTATACTATCAGATTTTAGTGTATTGAGTGAATGTCACTTTATTACATTTTTTTGAATTTCCCGCTGGTTCCATCCCCTGTGCGTCCCGTACATCCTGACGCTCGCAGGGAACGGAACCTGGAAGACAGATGCTGGCATCGGCCGGAGGAAATGGCCGGGGACACTGCAGGGGGGACATCGTGAGAGCAATGGACAAGGTAACTGATCAAGGGAATCCCTGAGCAACGCTGCAGGGTATTCCCGAGTGTAGCTCAGGGTTACCGCTTTTGTTACTGAAAGTTTACCCCAAGCTACACTCGGAAATACCGCCAGGGGGGTTAAAGCACTTCTGAAGAATATATTACTGTTGGTCTCAAAACGCGTCAAGTGCAAATGCATGCATGATTCATCCTCCTTCATGTACTTACTGTAGAATCATGGTTGATGTTATATTTTGTAATTATATGTCTTTTTAACTTTGTATAAATAAAATATGGTTTACTAAAAAATATGTATCTTTTACAATGCTATTGGTTTGACTTGTGCCTCTAAAAATCCCACCAAAAAGAGGGTGTTTCCATTACATTGTTGTAGGCACTTCTTATATCACACCCGTATTCTTTCTAAAAGCAGTGAGAAAAAACATTTGAAGAGCTCACTGTTTCAGGTTGGGCTGCTCACAACAGACAAGGCTACCTTCCAGTGGGTACCCCAGCAGGTTACCAGAACAAAACACATGCACAAACAAAAGGAGCAACAGACCAAAGAATTAGACCCCTTTCACATGGATGTTCCCTTTTTTTCATCAGTTCAGTCAGTGTGTTTTTTCCAAGAAAAACGGATCAGTTTACATCTGTTTTTTTTTCCTTCCTCTGGATCAACTGTCGGTATAGGATTATAACTTTTTTTTTTTTTTTAATAGTTGAACTGGATGGATTTTTGTCTTTTTTTTTCAGCAAGACTAATTATTATTATTATTATTATACAGTATTTATAAAGCGCCAATAGTTTGCTCAGCGCTGTACATTACAAAGGGGGATAGAACATGTGACAGAATAATACCAATACAATGCAAAACATGAGGGGATTGAGGGCCCTGCTCTTTCGAGCTTACGATCTAGGAGGGAGGGGATGGTGGCACAGGAGGAGATAATTGTGGGGGATGGAGTGGTAGGAAGAGTGGAGGAGGTCGGCAAGTTAGCAGGGGGTGGAGTAGGCTTCCCTGAAGAGGTGTGTTTTCAGGGTGCGCCTAAAGGAGAGGAGAGTAGGTGATAATCTGATGGTTTGGGGCAGGGAGTTCCAGAGGATGGGTGACACCCTGGAGAAGTCCTGGAGGCGGGCATGGGAGGAGGAGACCAGGGAACTAGAGAGAAGGAGGTCTTGTGAGGAGCGGAGTGTGCGTGCTGGGCGGTACTTGGATATTAGGTCAGTGATATAGTTCGGGGCAGTATTGTGGACAGCTTTGTACGTCAGTGTTAGGATTTTGAATTTGATCCGTTGCGCAATCGGAAGCCAGTGGAGGGATTGGCAGAGGGGGGTGGCGGAAGCGGAGCGGTTGGAGAGGTGAATGAGTCTGGCAGCCGTATTCAGGATCGACTGAAGCGGGGATAGCCAGCGGCGA